TGGCCTTTTCAGTGGAATGGATCCCTATGCCCACCTTGGAAAAGGTCCTCCCCCTCATAGTCAGGTCATTTTGATGGGCAACCTGGAGGGGGAAACCACTAAAGTTGACCACAGACTTTGGGCAGATACATGAGGAAAGAGACCTCCTTGAGAAGTCTGGTCCCAGGGCTGTTAAAACCAGCACCAAGAGTTTACATTGGGCCAAGAAACATACTGGCAACCAATACAGTGACATCCTCTCTGTGGCATCTCTGAAAAGGGAGGATGTATCTCGCTAAACCGTTTTAAAGAAAAGGATGAAGGAAAAGTTTTGAAGATTGAGATTGACAAATGCTCACGAGAAGTGTTTGGGAAACATCATTGGATAATACCTATTTACTTTGAAAGTCCAAATCTTCAGGACCACATGAAGTACACCCAAGAATACTGGAAGAACTTGCTGATGGTTTGGCCAGACCTTAATATATTATCCTTAAGGAGCTCTGGAGAAAGTGTGACTTGAGGAGGATGTACAATGTCCCTATCTCCAAAAAGGGAAATGGAGAGACCAGGGATTGTGGCACTGCACTCAGTACCCCACTTGAGTTTGATGAGGAAGCAGGAACAAGAGCAACTTTTGAGCCAGCTATGTATCCCCTTAAGTGTCATGACACCTGTCTATAATCAGAGGGTACATTGTTGAATGCTATGCTGAAATCAAGAAATATTATGTCTACAGCATTCCCACATTCTACTAAGGAAGTTACCTGATCAAAACATAAGATAAACTTATATTTATCTATGCTGATTTCTGATAACTATTGCCTTGTTTTCAAGGTGCTTACAAATCTCTTTATGATTCACTGTAGAATCTTCCCAGGTATCACACTCAGACTAGTTGGTTTGTAGTGCTCAAGCAGGGATGTCTAAGGACATGTGTCCATGTTGGGGGATAAGGAGGGCAAATGGCAACTTGAGCATCTTGATGTCATACATCATGTAGAGGACAACAAGAATGATTAGGGAACCAGAAACTAAACCCTGGGAAGAGAGATTGAAGTAGCATTGCTTATTTAACCTTGAGAAGAGAAGGTCAAGGAGGGGTATAATAGTACTGCTCAAATTCTTGAAAAAAAATTAAATAATAATAAAATAAATAATAGTTGAAGCTGTTCTGTGTCAGAATGCAGGACATGGACTAATTATGTTAAGCTGCAGGAAAGGAGGTTCTGATTCAGCAATTGACAAAAACTTTCTAAGAGTAAAGGCAGTTTGACGGTGGAACCAAGCACCAAGGGAGGTGTTGGGCTCTCTTTCACGGGATGTGTTCAGGCTAAGGCTGGGCAGCCATCTGTTGGAGAAGCTTTAATTTGGATTTCTGCACTGAGCAGTGGGTTGCACTCAATGGCATAAATGACCCCTTCCGACTCTGTGAATCTGTGAATGACTGGTTAATGTCCCTTAATGGTCAGTGAACATCTGTTCTGGAATCGCATTCCCAGTTGCACTGATAATTGGTCATTTTCCCATCCCCCTGCAAAAAAACCCAAAACAAGTTATTCTAAAGCCCGGGTTTGCTTTCCCTGCGTTCTGTCTAGAGTTGCCATTCTTCCTTTGGCCCTCGGCCTTGCTTTGAGCTCCAGCCTGATACAAACACATTAAGCAGGAGGAGAAGTCTTTCTTGCAGGGTGGATTGCAAGCAGTGACAGGACCTTGGAACAGCTTCTGAGCAGAGTGGCTGAAAAACAGTGGCCAGTTATCTTGCTTTTTGGAGACGAGAAGAACTAAAACTTTGTAGTATAAGCCCTAACATAGGTTAAATGAAAATCCCAGAGTATCCTTTTCATCACCCATCTATCTCCCAGGGTCCCCAGGGGTCCAAAAGTAATAAGAATTCTTTGGGACCACCCAAAGTTGTCCACTCCTACAGTAGACTTGCCAGGAAGAAATCCTTGTCAACATTAAGGGCTTCTGACTCAGAAATCCTTCTTTCCAAGCAAATGAAGGCTGGCTACGTTTATTCGATAGTGAAGGAAAAGTACCCTGTATATGTTCCGAGATGCCTGACTCTCCCCCTGCCCCATGATTGTTTCTTACGCTTCCAGTCTCATTTCTGGCATTACAATCTGTAGTATCTGTCCCTGGGCTCTGTGGGCCATAATTTGAATTTAGCCCTAGTGGGATAGTTGACACCAGTTCTTTCTAGCTACCAATTTCCTCTGCCTTCTTGAAGCCTCATCTGCCTTCTCCCTTGTCCCATCAACAATTTCCATTAAGTGAGTCTTTGGGATCACAGCTCCTCACTCTATAGGGGTAGGGGTGTATGTGTGTGTTGCATATCCAGAAATCCCAGAAGACCCAGCTATAGCCCAGTTGCAGGGGAAAGAAACAGCAACACAAAGGGGCTTACCGATTGTGCTAAGTCAATGTATGGTTGGCCTGGTTTTGGCTTTCTGGGTTGTGTGAACCAACCACCATCATTTGTGAATGATGGTTTAGGGCAGGGATGGCAATCTTTGGAGCCAAGGTTAATCCCAAAACACCCTTTCCCCAAAAGCTGCCCCCACTGAATGTTCTTTCTTGTCCTTCAGGGCTCCTAAAGGACAGTTCTTATAAATTAATTCAATATGACATTAGAAGCTTGCGGTTTGCTTTGCAGAATGCAAGCCTCCTAACTGAAAGTTTTAAAATTAAAACGATGCTTACGTTTTCATTTTAAAAAATCAGATGGGACAAGATCCTGTTTGGCACAAAGGAAGGTACTGAGGTGGGGGCATACTGATATCTGTAGGCACTGTATTGCTTGTCCCAAGTTTTATGGGGCAGTAAGTTGTACCAACCCAGCCAACTGTAGTTTTTTAAAATAAACCACTGTTAAACCATAGCTTGTTGTAATGTGAACACAAGCCTAAGCCTCACACCCAACAAAAAATGAAAGAGAAGGAACAATGGGGGTTAAAGCGCAGCCACATTGCTTGTTGAAATCGCAAGTTTCAGTAAGTGCCACTTCAAGTTAACATCCAAGAGATCTATCATCTCCCTTCATCAAAAGCGCTGGAAACTCAGAGCAAAATCAACTTCAGTCTCTTACTTACATTTGCATATGGTGACCTCTGCTGACATGGAGGACACTGCAAAAGAAGGAAGCAATCAGGAAACAGGAAATGACCCTGTCCTCCAGGTGGAGATACTGCAACATTCAAAGCATATATTGACTCCCAAGTGAATCCTTTGGTGGTTACCCAAAGCTCTTGCCCAGGTGACAGTATGCAGGCCAGCAGCCCTGGTCAATTTTCGTAAATCTCTCCGTTTCCAAGCTTGCTTTGAAAACCTTGGATTCTCTGGGGCAATGTTCCAATTTACTGAGCATCTTATTCCCTTCCTTCATTTTTAAGGCAAGTTGTCTTTTCTACAAGTCCTGAAAAACCAGTGCAATGGGAACCTTTCTCCTCAATGCACAGCATTCTTTTGCCTTTTGGAAGATGTTTGGTCGCCTTGCTGGGGCACAACCCTGTGCCCCCCCCCCCAAGAAATGATGTCTTTCTCTAGAACTATGGCATAATCCTCCCCCAAAGGCATACAAATGTACAGGGACTATTAACAGGCCATCCATGTCTGACAACGAGGACATTCTTATAATGGGTGCTAAAATAAGAAAAAATAATAACAAAATCTAAGCAATCACCCTTTGGCTATTGGAGTACTTTTTAAGATGGTCCAACGAAGCACCTGGGTCAAAACAATCAAATGAAACACGTTGCTTTATGAGATGCTCCCCTTGAAGCTCTTCTTTTCTTCCAAGGTGTAAAGTGAAACCCAGGCAACTTAGCCTGGTACTAAGTTCTTGAATTCCTCTGGCATGTTATGCAGCAGGCCTGGGATAGGATGGCTCTGCGAGAGATGTCGTGGAAGCACTCGGTTGTCTGTAGGGCAACAGTTCTGGTCCCTGCCCAGATTCTGGCAGCAGCCAAAGGCAGACATGAAAAGCGAGGCTTTGTGGCTTAACCACAGCTTCCTCCCACCAAACCAGTTAAGTGGAAGATGTTCCCCAAGGGAGGGGCAGCTCTCTAGGAGCCAAAACCAGACTTCAGATGGAAAGTTTCACTGCACTAAGAAGAATGGCTTAGGGTGCCAATTGGCACACCTGCTGCTAGAAAGCTAGTGTGGCAGACACTGGAGAAGCACCTCTCTACCATGTTCCTATCCAAAGACACGACCAGGAAACCCGTTTCTGTATTTCTGCTCTCTTTTTTTCTGCCCTGTGGCAGAAAGGCCACAGAATGCCTTCACTTTTAGGCATAAATCAGATGCAAATTTCGATATAGATTTAAATATTCTGGATTGTGCATTCAGATGTACCTCAATGGGAGGCATATCCAAACTCAAGTTCTAATCTGTACAGGTAGTCCTTGTTTAGCAACCATAATTGGGACCAGCAACTTGGTTGTTAAGCTAAGTGGCTGCTAAGTGAACTGGGCATATGATCTTACTTCAGCTTTCCTTTGCTTTACAGACCTGTGAAGGTCATAAATGTGGGGATTGGTTGCAAAGTTACTTTTTCATCTCCGTCATAACTGTGAATGGTTGCTAAACAAGGATTACTTGTATTTTCAATAGGATCTGCTTCCAGATGCATTTTCCATTTGTAATTTCCACCAGCCCTGGCAAGGATGCATAAGACTTAAGGCATCCAGGATCAAGGATGTTATTTTCCTAATAGAAAGTAAATCTAGTAGGGGTGAATTTTCCAAAATTTTACTTGGGTTAACTTGAAACCACCATTTCTAGTAACTGTCATAATGCAGGAGAGCCGGACTAGTCTATGGTAGCAAAAAATCAGGAGTCTGGTAGCATTTACATGCCCATTGTCATGGTCTCCCCAAATAATCCCTTAATTTAAACTCAAAATGTAGAGGTTTTCCCCTCCTTTGGGGAAATTTGGTTCTTCAGAGAATCTGGAGTACTTTTGGTTT